AATGAACACCAACTGGCTACAAAAAGACACGACCAATACTCACTCATCTCAATCCACGTGGACAAGGAGAACCACGACTTCAACTGGGACAACACCAAGATCCTGGGACAGGCTAGGTAGAGACAAGCACGAGAATTCCTGGAAATATGGCACTCCACAAAGCATGCTATTAATAAACACATTGAACTTGACCCCATATACATTCCACTACGGAGGAAACCCAGAAGTGAGGCAATCCATCGCAACGGACCCCAGAGTTTAAAAACCAGGCGGGAAAACACACTGACGCTCCATCAGAGGCTGCACTGAGGATGTTACCGAGCATGGTAACGAAATGTCTGCGGAACAACAAACCAGCTCGGCGAGCCAGCCAACCTCAATATATAGTTGTTCCTTCCCTAAAGGTGTTGTGGGTCAACCTACAACACATGGATTGCGTCACTTCAGTAAGGTAGCTCACCACCGCTATCTGAAGGGCAACTAAGGATCAGCAATAAATGCTGACCATATAGTTACACCCAAGCCCATGAAAGAATTAAAGAAGGTAGCTGACAGTTAACTGCCAAGCTTTGTTAAAATTTAATCCAGGTGGTTTGATTATGATTGTCAAGACATCACCCTCTGGAATGCACCAGAGAATGTCTTTTGCTTGCCAGCTTGAAACTGAGGCAATGTATGTATACGTTCTTTCTGTTTATAAGGAACAGGACCTCGTGTCTTAATATATGTTGCTTACATTATAAGCCACATTGAAATGGCATCCTTTGGCCTTTTCATGAATTTGCATGATGTGAGTATGTTTATAAATATAAAAAATGTTTGCTATTCATGAATTCTCAGCTGCAAGTATAAATTTCTTTCTATGTCTTAATCGGCTCCCTCTTGCACTCACATTCACATTTGAAGTGGAACAGTCAAATAAGGTCCCTTTTCCTGATGTGCCAGTTGATGAACCTGACAGGAGGTTCTCTCCTGCAGTCTACTGCAAGCCTACCTTCACTGGTCAGTACATGCATTGGGAATCCTGCCATTCCATGCTCTAGGAGACTGACCTATTGGCAACTTTAGAAATAGGCCTGAACCATTTGGTCACCCTGCAAACTTGACACTGCAATAGAACACATCCAAGCCATCTTACAAAATAGTGGCTATTGTGATCAGATCATGCATTGTTGTATGTCGCATAAATTCATGAATGGGCCTGTGGCCGCCTCTTTCGATTCTGATAATGCCCAGTCTATTTATGATTACACTGGAAGAGTTAAGCACCTCAAAAATTCAAACAACAAGTGAAGCTAGCTGTAGCAATGCGAGTGGTGTTGACTAGTAACAGGATGCTACTGTTAAACAAAAAAGACATTCTGTCTCTTGCACAGAAAGGTAATGTATTATATGAATTTCACTGCTGGTGTGATGTTAGTTTTGTAGTTTGTAGGTCCTAAAAACTGGCAGATCACATCAAACAGCATATCCATTTGGCTGTTGGATACAGATAAGGCACTGACTGTATCCAGTTGGCCTGTGCTTACAAAGCTTAAAACAACCTACAAAACTAACATTAGGTATGATTCTGTAATGGGACAATATTTGCTGGATAATCATAAGTCTGCACAGAATTAAACAGACAACCAATTTAACTTTGTTAATTGGGCTTGCAGTGTCAGTCATCATATAATGAATCTATTCTCCATGGCAGTGCCTTTCCCAATCAAAATCCACTTGCCAACCAACCAGTGCAGTCTACTCATACAGTATAAAATATTATTCCCCCCAACAGTGTTATTCTTGCAAATGCCTTTGAAAGCAAAAGGAAAAACCTCAAAATTTTTTTCAATAATAATTTAAAAAAGAATCTAAAATTGAAAGCTAGTCTTAAGATTGGTGCTATGAAAATATCATCACTTGCTGGCTTTGATTAGTCTTATATGTAATTCCAGACCCACACAATGTATGTTGACTTTTAACTGCCCTCTAAAATAGCCTAGTAAGCCACTTTGTTCAAGGGCATTTATGGATGGACAACATATGCTAGCCTTAGTAATACCCAGAATCTATGAAAGAATAAAGGTGGAACTACATTTCTGGGCTTTAAAAAATATTATGCCAGTAAAAGTGACTGCAAAGTTGTTGGATTTTGTTGAAAACCCAACTGGTTCATTGACAATCCTTGAGAGAAGGATGTCTTTACTCTATCTGGCCTACATATGACTCCAAACCCATGTCATCATGCTTGACTATTAGGGGAGGTGATGGCCTAGTAATATTATTGCTGGGCTGTTAATCCAGAGGCCCAGATAATGTTCTGGGGATCTGGGTTCGAATCCCGTCATGGCAGATGGTGGAATTTGAATTCAATAAATATCTGGAATTAAGAATCTAATGATGACTGTGAATCCATTGTCCATTGTTGGAAAAACCCATCTGGTTCACTAATGTCCTTTAGGGAAGGAAATTGCCATCCTTACCTGGTGTGGCCTACATGTGATTCCAAACCCACAGCAATGCGGTTGACTCTTAACTGCCCTCCAGACAATTAGGGCTGGGCAATAAATGCTGCCTAGCCAGTGACACCCTCATCCCGTAAATGAATAAAGAGATTATTAACTGCACTTTCCAGCAGCCTCTCAAACTATGTATTGTATCAAAGACAGAACTCCCACCTTCTTTAGGCAAGAAATGCCTGTGAAGCTGCAGTGAAATGAAAGCTCTAGTGGTTTTAGGGGAGAAAATTGAAAAGTCAAAGGAGGTTAAAAAACCTTACTGACCAATGTCTACTTTCTTTGATTTCCACCCTCCCTGTCTCTTCCTTTCTCTCACACTCCATCTCTTTCATACATTCACCCCCTTTCCTATTAGACAGTACCCTGCATTGAAGACGATGGAGCACATGGAACACACGTTCTTGCCTCGGGTAAATCCCTATCGTTTCTGCACAGTAATGGTGGAGGATATTCCCAAATTACGAGAGGAGATAAAAGAAGTTTCCATGTCTGACTTGAAGGACTTCTTGGAGAGCATCCGCAAGCATTCGGACAAAATTGGAGAGACTGCTATGAAACAGGTGAGCCTGCTACGTCACATTGACACCATCATACATTTGCAACAGCAGATAAAGGGATGCAGTCAGTTGCTTGAAAGGAATCCAGCCCAGGTTCTTCAGAAGACCACCAGGATTTGCAGGTGTTAAATTGAGAGAACAGGTTGTATAGACTTGGCCTGCATTCCCTTGAGTTCACATTTTTGAAGGATAGTCTCAATAAGGTGTTTAAAATGATCAATGTGCTACTTAGAGAATATGCAAAAAATCTATTTGCCTCATGAGGGGAATCCAGAGCAAAATTACAGATAGGCCATTAAGGGGTGAAACCAAACATTGCTTTTTCACATTAAAAATACTGGTAATTTTGAACTCTCTCCCCAAGGGCTTGGAAGGATGCTGGTGAATGGTTGGACTAAGATTTGAAAAACTTTTATTAAGTTAAAGGTACTAAGAGATGTTGGATCAAAGTGGGTCAAGTGGATTTGAGAAACAAATCAACCATGATCCACTTGAATGACAGGGGAAGCTTGAAGGAATTGAATGGCATCCTTATTCTTAAGCATCCTGTTCTGCCTTTGATACAATACAATAGTTTCTGAGGCCACTGGAAGGGGCAGTTAAGAAACTACTCCTGTGCTTCCACTGAGATGACTGGGGCAAACCTTTTCTAGTATGAGACTAGAATTCTTTGGTTCCTGGTTGATCATGTAGCTCACGAGTTTGTTCTGTTATCAGAGTTGGTCCTGTTAAGGGTGAAGCAGAAGAACATGGTGCTTACTTGTATAAAATAACTCCTAACTCCACTCAACTAAGGGTAGTGTAAATCTGGTATTTCCTCCATGCAAAACCGCTAGAGATCAGTTGAAAACTTCAAAACTAAAATTGCTAGGTTTTTTTGGTGGGCAAAGGCTTTTTGCTCAGCAAAGCTGAGTAGGTAGAGTTATGATAAAGACCACCCAACCGTAGAGACCTACTTGAATGGCGGAATAGACTTTTGAATATATGAACATGGAACAAGAGTAGGCCAGTTGGCCTTTTGAGCCTGGTCTGCAGTTCAATAAGATCATAGCTGATCTGATTTTAATCTCAGCTGTACATTGCTGCATGCCCCTGATAATCTTTCATCCCCTTGATGGATGTTTCTGTGATCCTAGTAATGCAGTATGCTTTATGCTGTAAGAGGTAACCAGGTAGTTTACATGGAAGGGGAAAGAAGAATTGGATACTGACCAGGAGTTCAGAAAAGTAATTGAAGCTGTGATTTAAAACACAGGGTTGGAGGAATCGGGATGAATGTCAAGGAAGAGAATTGCAGAATGTCTGGACATTGTATTGTAGTTATTCTGAATGAGAGGAAAGTGAATAGTGGGCTGGATCGCGTCTGAGCAGTGACAGTCCTAATGTCTGAACATGGAGTTGAAGTAGGTTGTTGCCTTTATGTTTGGGAATCAAAATCTCATTGAAATTGGACCATCTATTGGCTATGTGGTATCTAGGAAATTGCAAGAAATTTCTCCTTACAGATAATTCAGTTTATCTCTTATACTTCCCAGCAGCACTTGATTGATAGGGCTGACAGGATCTGAGTTTAAGTGCAACAAGATGGCTTTGAACTGGGTGACAGAGAGGATTGGAAGCTTTTACAAATATGCATTTTGGGCAGCACCTATTCTCACCCTGTATCCAGTCCTGATCATAGTCTGACCTTGAAGTTCCATTTGCTGTAGTTTCGTTAGAGTAGGCGGCTCTAAGCAAAAACCTCTGGTCAGTTCCAGTTACTTGAAATCCTAAAAATAGCCATAAGCCCTAACATAAGCATTCAGACCAGAATGAAAGACTACAGCTGTACCCTGATGAGAACAGAGGAGGAGCCACCCCACATACAGGATTCATTTAGTAAACTCAGTCCTTCACATGTTACTCAGACACCAAGTATCATGTGTACTGCTGTTTAGAACACGAGCTGATTTATCAACAAAGGTTCCAGTGTTGTCCTGTGCACTCTCCAGGAAAACTTGAAAGGTTTTATTGGGCAACAGTCACCTGTTAATATGATAAGCTAATATGATGTTTGTACAACTTATATTCTGAAGTGAAATACTAGGAAATATTGAGTCTAGTATTGTGGGTCAGTAGGCAGCACTCACTTCTGAATCAGAAGGCTGTGAATTACAGAAACTGGAATAAGTAATTCAGGCTGACATTCCAATGTGATTGGGAGTGCTGCAATGGCCATTGATATTTTTTCATGTAAGATGTTAGGTCTAAGCATGTGTGCGCACACACCACATACGCATGCACGCACACTTACACACAAACACAAGTAAGGGACCCAGCACCAACCCCTGTGATACACCACTGGACACTGTTCATGTGGGGCCTTGTCAAAGGCTTTGCTGAAATCCATATAAACTACATCAACTGCACTATCCTTGTCTACACCTCTTTGAAAAGCTCAACCAAATTGGTTAGGCATGACGTCCCTCTGACCAAGCCATGCTGATTATCCCTGATCAACAGTGGTACTGTTGGGAGATTCCTTGATTATGATCTTGTCCTTATACAGAAGTGTGTATTTTTCTCAACTTTCTCATCACTTTTAAATTTTCTGCTCTCTGAGGACAACAGAACAACTTCTCTGCTAACTCCATGTAATTGAAGTCCTTCACCCCGGAACCTTCCTTGCAAATATTTTCTCCGCACCCTCTAGTGCCTTCATATTCTTCCTAAAATGTCGGGCCAATACTCCAGTGGAGATCAGACTAGAATTTCATGATGGTTCACAGTAACTTGCTTGCTCTTGTATATCTCTATTTGTAGAGGCCAGGATCTGATCATCTTTATTAACTGCTTGCTCAACCTGCCCTTCCATCTTTAATGATCTGCACACACATACCACTCCTGCACCCCCTTAGAATTGTTTCCTTTAGTTTGTTGTTTAGGCAGGTATTTGATGGAGACCAAATAGTTGCTATAGTATTTAGATGAAAAAAGATGGGAGGTGGCTCAAGTGGAGGAGAAAGAGCAGCATTGACTAGTTGGCGTTGGAGGCCAGTTTTTATGCATTACGTCCTCTTTAGTCCTGTTCTTCGCTTTATTCATCTTACTGAAGTGTATCACTTGATCTTTCTTTGCATTAAATTTCAAGTGCCATATGTCTGCTCATTCCACCAGCTTGTCTTTGTCCTCATGAAATCTTTCATTGTCCTCATCACAGGTGGAACACTTCTAAGTTCTGTGTAATGTGGAAATTTTGAAATAGTATCCCCTGCATCCAGTTGAGTTCATCAATAAACGTCAAATGGTCCTAGTACTGATCATTCAGGAATGTCAATGTATTTTTTTCTTCCAGTTCAAAGAACAACTGTTCATCAGTGCTCTCTGTTTCCTATCATATCAGCCAATTCTGAATCTGTGCTACTACTTGCCCATTTATTCCATAGGCTTCATTTTTGCTGGGAAGCTTGCTCTGTGGTACTTTACAGCATGTTCTTTAACTTTCATTGGCTTAAAATGTTGGAATTCTTTCCTTAACAGTAATGTGTGTACACAAAACCGCATGATCGTTCAAGAAGGCACTCCGAACTACCTTGTCAAGGACAGTTAGGCGATGGACTGTTAATACTAGCTGTGCCAGTGGTCCCCACAGCCCATGATTGAACTTTTTAAAAAAAGAATTAGAGCATGTTTCACACCAGTATGACAGGCAGCTGCCTTTAGCCTTTGAGGTGCGGTTAAGTGTACTTGCACAAACTCACATTTGCACTCACACACCTTAAATGCTCTACATTCAAGCATACCCATCTTCCTGAATGCCTTTTAAATAGAAGGCTTTCCAGTCGGACCTCGCAAGTTAGCTGCTCTGACCCGGTGACCTTTCCTCTGTTTGGCAGCCAGGGTCTGTGGCTGGTTCAGCCAGAGTTGAAAGATAATTGCGGCAGGAGCTGAAGTTGCGGGTTTTTGCAGTACACCCTTGAGGGCTAAGTCTTTTTTTTCGGAGTCTGCTGCAAATTTCAAAGCATGTGTTAAGTTTTATGTGATGCTGATTAAGATGGTGGGTTTTGGGAACTGGCAGATTTGAGAACTACATCTGCCAGCAGGCATGTAAAAAAGTTTTTTTTTTTGCTTCACATTAGAAAAAATAGCAGGAGCCAATTTTTTTTCCTCTAAATTTTTTTGCTGAACAGTCTTGGGAAAGGAGTGAAAACAGATATAGTGCAGAGGGGACTTGTACAAAAACAGAGATGATAGAACTCTCAGTGCTGTCTTTATTAATTTAATGCTCATTTGTTAGAGTCATAGAGCATGGAAACATTGTTCCTTTACGTTGTACTCTATTTTTCTTTTTCAAAATAGTAGTTTTATGATTTCTTTTGCCAGAAGTTTTGTGTGAATGTTATCCCAATTCACTGTAATTTTAAGATCCTGGTATTGCCATCACTGATTCTAGGGCAGGACCAGCTTAGGCTAGGTACATGATAAAGCTCCCTTTGCAGATCCCACCAAGTGCTGTCAAGCAAGGTAAGCCAGAACCCACTCTGCTGTTAGAGAGAGATGATGAGTGGTGAGTTTAACATGTGGGTCACCATGCCTCAGATAATGTTATAGTGCTCTCAGCAGTACAAGACTTGAACTCATGCTGTTGGTGTTACTCTGCATAGCAAACCAGCTGTCCAGTCAACAGAGCTAACTGATCAGGCAAACTACAGCGGTGTGGATTAGGACCATTTAAGCTTTCTCTGTCCTACTTTTAGCAGTTAAAGATTAGGTTAAATAGAGACGAATATTTTCTCTGCACACCTCAAAAGTGTGGATATGAGGAGCACCCTTTGTGCTACAGAGTGCCAATCTCTAACCTAATGGCCTTTGAGTGAAGTTTCTAATTTAGTGCCTTTAAGTACTGATTTCAAGTTGGCTTTACATCATGCGCTGTTGTTAAATGTGTAAGAGTCTGAAAGGGTTAATGCTGAGGAATTTCATAAGCATCACTATGATGATGATATATAGGTTTGTGGCAAGAA